CCCCAAAACCCCAAAACCCCAAAACCCCAAAACCCCGTAAGCTATATATAGAAAAACTAAATAAGTTAAAGTTAAATATTTTTGAAATCATTGATTTTATGAGCAATTTGTGTTATTATTTGATAGTTGTGCGAGCTGGTACTCGAGTGAATTCAACTTTAAAATTACTTGAATCAAGAAGAGCATTATCAAAAACAGAAGTATTTCAACTCTGTATTCAGAAGCATAGAGCTATGCTTGGTTGACAATATTTTCTAATTTATCTTTAAAGTTCTTCTTCTAAACCTACTTCTAAGCTTCAGCAGGTTCATCGTTTTTCTTTTCAAACAACTTATTTGATTTTTCAATGCCATGCTTTAACTTATTAGCTGCCTAGGGAGCTTTTTTCTCTTTAAAAGCAAGTCCTTTTCTCTTGAACCATTCAACCCATTCAGTCCAGACATCTTTCGAACCTTTGATTGAAGAAGAAGTAATCTTTGACTTGAATATAGTTGATTTGTAGTAGATAACTTGCATCATAATTCTGACCACACAAATTGGTGCACCAGGTGAAGGAGCCAATATCAGAAATTCCTCCTCAATGGCAAAGGTATCGCAATAGGGAACGCCTGAACATTTACTGAGGATTTTAAAGCATACCTTTTGATCAGTTTTCTCTAATAACTTGTAGTACTTAGTTGTTGGGGAAACTTTGACAAATGGGTTATCTTTAATTTGGAATTCCACAAACATTTAACTTGCCATTTGGACAGGCTTCCCATCATATTCCTCAGCCGGTTCTGGTATAACCCAATCCTGAGCTTATATTTTCTGTTCTCCTTTCTCAGCATAAAACTTCTCAAATGAATGAATTCCAGAATGAACTGCAACTTGGTTGAAGAAATCTAAAGCACCCATGTTAAGGCAAATCTTTTCCATCTCATTCATATTCTCGCCTACCGGATATGGGTCTAAAAGTTTTTCCAATTCATCCTTAGTAATGTACTCAAAGGGATTTTCCTTATCTTTACCTTACTTACTCCTCTCATTTAACTCATTCAAGCCTTATGCTTTCTCTACTTAGACACCCTGTTTTTCATCAGTTTGTTTTTTATTTCCATTCAATCCATCACTTAATGTCCTTTAATCATCAATTGCAGAAGGCTATTGATCTAATTTAATTTCCTCATTATTTATTCCTGATCCACTTAATCTGTGGCTTAAGGATCTTTCAAGAATGCTTGAGTTATTATCATTAGAAATTATGATCTTTGGTTCTTATTTGCCATCAATAGATGAATCAAGTTATCCACCCTACACGTTGAGCTTATCTTAAGTCTGTGCTAACTCAGTACCTCTAGTAACTGTGCTCATACTCATCTAACTTTAATTATCATCATCATCATCTTCCTCCTCAGACACATCTTTATTTTGTTGTGCATAGGGAGAGACATTTGACCATAACTTTTAAATTATCTTATAGGTTTTGTTGCAATCTGAGAATGATTGAAACTTATAAGAGCTCTTTTTGCCTGCTTAGGCCTGAGTATAGATCTTTATTGCCTTGATCATGCCAAGAGATTTAGCTTTACTAACTTAAGTAACATCATTCAAGGGTACTATGACTCTTTTGGTGATACCCATGATACTAGAATAGAAGCAGATATAGTTCTCTGTCAAGTACATCCTGCCTGTGTGCAGGATGCCACTATTGTAAGAGCACCCGAAATCATCAAAGATGACTTCCTTTTTAGGAAGAGAGAACAATTCTCTCACTTATGTTTAAGATGAAGTCATATATCCTCTTATTAATTTTATTATATATTTTATTGCAGAAATGAAATCGGTAGTGCTAATTAACTGCTTAATCAAGCTTAAAATATAGACAATAAAAGAGCAAAATAATTAATGCTTTATGTGTCAAGATATGTTTTGAATTATTTAAAAATAAGCTTTAAAATCAAACAAAGAATGCGTTGAGTATATATTTATTTAAATTGAGAAACGCAATCCTTGAGGAAAAGTAGTTGTTCAACGACGCGCATATGATTATGCAGGTTGCTGCTGATCGCTTCTAACATTAGTTTTCTCAAGGAAATTCTATAGCTCTGCCTGATCTTCCCAACTTTTACGAACAATAAGTATTCCCCAGTAAATAGAGAAGATCCATCCTATTAAAATGTATGCAAGGAAGAGCTAGAATACTCCCACCATGAACAATGTCTTGCTCCATTTTGGGCTGAAACCACTCACAATCATTGTTCCCAAACCTGAAATGTAAACACATGAATTCGCTTATAGATATTACCTGGAATGATCACGTTCAAAATAAAACAAACATATTGCCATGGAGACTTGATCTTTGGAACATCAGTTATTAGCTACCAGACTTGAGCATCCTTTTCATCAATATCAATGACTTTCTCCCTCATGAACTTGATGGTCTAATTCTTTTTCATTTCGAAATTGTTGTTTGCACCTCCCTAATAACTTATTATACACAAACCTAAGCCATACTTCTGCCATCTATATTATGAATTATTTAAATTATTAACTCCTTAAGCTGCCTTCCCTTTCTTATATTAAAATTATTTCTTTAAATTATCACTTAAAAATTAACAATACTACAATACTATCAAAATTACTCATTCCATACCTGATTGGCCTTAAATTTACACACTTTCATAGTTTGGGAATATCAATCACCTAAGAACTCAATCATTCATTCCAGACTGTTATTTGATAATCGGATATCGGAATTCATCTACCATTTTATAGTTATCTGCCTTTCTCACTTCTATTATGAATTCTCTAATTTATCGAAGGTCGTCACCTTTCAATTGTAGGTGGGTGTAAAAATTCTTGCAGCACTCAATTAAGTATGTCTTATCTGGGTAAACAAAAACTTGTTTAGCATTCCTAATATATGCTTTGGCTTCAAATGTCCTCTTTATAAGCAATGTATCCTCACCAGTGAAGAACTCAGATTGATCACCAGTCATTTTACTCGAATTAACTTCATGTTTAAACGTCGCATACCCAGGTTTCTGCTTATCTGCATATCTATCTACCTCAGTTACAATTATTTTCATCCGATCATGCACAATAGGGTAGCCGTAAAATGTATTTAACTTATCTATCTCTTTGAGAGTATGCTGAATACAAAACCCTCTTGTATAATAAGCATCAATTGGAAATAATGAGGCTGTACTTTTTTTATTCCATGAGTTGCTTTTTCCATTAAAACACATAGCCCACCCTGTTAGTACCACTGGCTAGGCTCTCATTATTATTTCTTCAGAAGAACATCCAAGAATCTAAGATAAACTCTCTGGGTTCGCTCCACCATAGTGAAATATCATTTCCCCGTTTTCTAGGTTGTCTCTGCTACTACAGCAGGGAGCACATACTCTCTAACCCATTATGATATTAATATCTCGTGAATTAAATATATTTTAATTAAAGCACTGAATTTAACTCATCATAATTAAAGTAACAATAACGGAACAATAATTTCATAATCGATTAATTATTTAAATTTGCATTCAAATTATACTTCTAAAATGGATCCTATGTACTAATCTATGCAAGAGGAAAATGAAAATCTCGTTAAAGCCCTAGCTTATTTAGAGAAGCAACTAGAAATGACTTTAAGTAAGTAGCAGCATTTAAATAAGAGAAAAACTTATATTATTATCTTGATGATATTTTTAAAAAATATGATGAAGTAATTTTTAACTATAGTTGAAAAGGATTAAATAAATGCCTTGCATTTGGATTTCAAAGCTCATTATGATCAGATGGTTCAGTAGAATACCTAGTTTAAGAAAAGGCTAGCAGAGGAGCATCACGCTAGAAAAGATCTAGAAATTTCATAGGAATAAAGATTAAATGACATGAAAAGAGCTATAGATGCAAAATAGAGAGAAATTGAATAAATGCAGAATAAAATGACTCTGCCGATTGACAGTGATATCATGCGAATGAAAATTTAAAAAGATATTGAGGGTCGCCACAGAATTGAACTAGACTAGAAGTAGCAAGAGAATGAAAGAATGTCTGAGTAGTACTATGAGTCTAAGAGATAATTAGAAGTAGTTAAAACATAACTTGATACTTTCAAGCATGAGAGCGAGAAAGAGTTGAATGATTTGAGAGAGAAGCATAAGCAGGAAGTTCATGAAATGATGCTCGAGAATCAAGCTTTACAGTCAAGAGCAGACGATAAACGTGATCGTGAACTTATTAGATAGCTAAGAAGGGATTTAGATGAAAATAAGAGAAGAATTACTGAGTTACTTACTGATAGCACTGACTTGAGACGCGAAAGAGATTTGGCTAAGATGGAGAGAAATGAAATGATGATATAGTTTACCAAAGATCTTGAAGAAGAGAGAAATCAGAAGAGAGTGATTCAAAGTGAACTTGACAGAGTGTAATTCAAGCTTTAATGTGCTGAAGAAGAAAAATAAAAGCTATTGATCAAAGTTGAAAAGAAACAGAGCGAAATTGCGCACACTCAAATGGAAAAGAATAAATACGAAAATATTCTCAGAGAAAAGGATTCAATGATTGATACTCTGAATAAGCAAGGTCAGTAGCTTAAAGAAGATCTCAAATAATCAGAGCAGCAGTAAGCACATTTATTATAAAGACTCTAAGATGAGGAAAGAGATTTTCACATGAGATAGAGAAAAGAGGTTTCTAAACTATAGAAAGAAATAGAATAACTTTAGGTTTAGATACTAGAACAAGAAAGCAATAAGAGATTTGACTTGGAAAAGTCCCATAGTGAATTTGATCGTATTCAGAGAGAGTATAGAATTGTGTCTGAAGAGAAGAGAATGGCTCAAATGAGAGTCTAGGATATTCAAAATGAATTTGAGAGCTACAGACGCTAATTTGAAGACAGAAAGTATGACTAAGACCTTTATGAGAATGAGTTAAGAAAGCTATAGGACAAACACAGAGAGTGTATGCAGTAAATTTATCAGCTGAAGACTGACAAAGAACATCTCGAGAAGAGTCTGCAACTTGCTTAGTCTGAAGTTAACAAGTTTAATGATGGATTTGATGCTGAAATATAGATGAGAAATAAGGAAAGAATGGATCTCCAACTTAAGATTCAAGAGTTGATAACAACTAATGAGAAGCAAAAACTAGAGAACAATAGATAAATTGAAACTTACAAGTCAAAATACTCGCAATATAAGACCAAGCTGAAACAAGCAAACAATAGTATTCATACTTTAGCTGAGAGAGTAGCTAAGTATGAACTTTAGATGGTGGCTGAAAGAGATGGTGCTGATATACAGTCTGCACATGCACTTGGCAGTGCAAGAAATATACCTAGTAAAATTAACAGAAGAGGACAATACTCTTCACAGGGAATGATTTCTGATGATGAATTTAATCTTAACGAGCTGTAGAATGATAAAATGAATGAGGAGATAAGAAAGCTACTTGAGGAAAATAGAAGAGCATTATAATGAATATAGCTATAAGATTTAATATGATTGACTTAACTTTCAATTATAAATCTAAATAAACTATTAATGGCTATGCTAGTTAGGAAAATCATACCAATAAAATAGTCTCTGTCTCGTATAAAAATGTATCTATTTATAACTTATATTGTGTTTTTTTTTTTCATCTCACTTTACTGAATGATTTTGTAGAATTTGCTTTTCGAATTATCGAATCAAGTTTAAAATCTAATCTATGAATTAATCTACTCTATAATCAACCTTTTTAAACATCTGTTCAAGATTTTTCTGAATTATGCCACCAGTAGGATCTTGAATTATTTTTATTTTTTGTAAGTAATTCACATTCATGTACACTATTTAGATAACGAATGATCTTTGACCAGTACCATTATTGCTAATTGAGCTATTTTATGATAAGTTTGCTTGGATTTCGAATCTTAGCTCAAAGGAATGGTTACCTAGCGATGTAATTTTAAATGGACTAATCAGCTTTAAGTAGTTAAGCTATTTATTGACTAATTGATTAAGCTCATAAAACTACTATATTTAGTTGTCGAGATTTTCCTGGCTATCATGGTAATGAATTTATTGATTGTCTACAAAAATGTTTTCTTTTTTTTCATTCATACTTACAATTCTCTCATATTTCTTGATCTGTTCATCTATTTCTTGATTGAACATTATTAGATTGTGAATTTACTCCGTATTTTTCTGATTAAGATGTGACCAACTCATTAATTCTAGCATTTTTTAATCAGCAACGCCATTTGTTATAAAAGAAAGATCCATTAACTCTTCATACTTTGGATCATTAGCTTATTTGACATTCTTAAATATCTTCTTTATGAATCTCTACCTCTTCTCAATGTAAGTATTGTCATTTTATAGCTCACTGAATGCTTAATTATACTAGTCATCATTGTTTTTTTATGTCTAGTTTTTTACCATTAACTATTCATCAATTTAGTCTATAGAACTAATTAACTGAGCGAAATTTTCAATGGCTTTTATATCAGCTGGCTATTTTTTATCCTAAAGGAGTAATTATACACTTTGAATTTAGGCCATGGTATTTTATTTATAATCTTTCTATGAGTAGATATTTATTAGATTTATAGACTGCTAATATTATTCTTTGCTTAGTCCCAAATGTGCTATTTTGACTTTAAGCAGTGGTGAGGATTTGCTCTTACTTGACTTTGCAAATCTACCCGCACTTGATCTAGTATGAACTCCTCCCCCTTTCTAAGAAATATTAGAAACAAAGGTTATGTCAAGATCTTATTCAAAGACTGTTGGTTCCTCGTTAATAACAGAAATCTAATTTTAATCAGGAATCTAAAAAAATGTTTGCCTTTTATCAGCTTATTCAAAAGTTTAGTTTCCATAATTTTCATTTTAATTTTGATAATCTTGCATGCTTTCATCAAGCATAGGTTTAATGCTTAAAATTTGATTTGCATTAGGATTCTTCAGGATGCTAAGTCTTTAGCTCTATTATTAAGGATTAGAATTCATCAGGCCAAAAGAATTTCGTTTCTTTTTCATTTGCTCACCTAATTAAGAGTTGGGATTGCCATTATTACTATTATGTAATAAATCAGGGGCAAATGTTGATTAGCGCTTCACGATAATATTCTTGTGAATCTCTGATAATCTATTTAGATTCATCTTACTTTTTGAAGCATTGCTTTGCTAGTCTTAATTATTTGCTAAAACAACTAAATGTTGCTTGAATGATTTTTAGTCATTGATCTAGTGATGTTTAGAATTTACTAAAGAGTCTATTTCTAAACTTTTTGTGTTGCTAACATCTGAGCTAATAATTTGATTGTCGCTTTATAAATTATTCAGTGATGAGGGAATGTTTAAGTTAGCAATGGCTTGATTTGAAATTCCTTATCCTGATTCTTGACTTGGATCTCTTTACTTATTTATGTTCTCACTGTCACCATCGTTAGGAGTAGTATCAAAAGACTGGTCGTGAACAGGGTTTCTAAGATCTGCTGTAAATCTGTTAGTATTGCTTTGAATTGCATAATTTTTCATTTTTCGTAATTCAAATTAGTATATTAAATTATCGAACATATTTTATGTATCTCCTTTTTACTCTTGAGGGGTTTTGGGGTTTTGGGGTTTTGGGGTTTTGGGG